CGACATAAATCAGATCGTAAACGTAAACAGATCTAGAATATTCCAAAGTGTGTGAAAAGCACCACAAAATGATTTACCMCGAAGGTTATAGTTTCAAAGTCCGTTAGAGGTGAGACTGTTACTGCATATGTCATCCATTGACAGTGTCCCTTTAAAGCTTTGTTTGTGTGAGTATAGAAACTCCGATTGAATCCTGGATCCGCMAATGAAAAGAAATGAGTCACGTGGCTATAAAATTATTTTACTCTTTTCTCGTGGTTTCTTACAAAAATGAACAACATTTAGAATGGCAGGCAGCTGTGTTTTTGTGATATTCCAAGTTTTCTCACAAAAAGGACAAATGAGGGGAGCTGGKCTGATGTAGTTTACTAGATTTCTTATTTGATTTCGGTGATTTTCCGATGTTCTCAATAGATTGCGTAGTGTCTTTCCATGTTTTTATGATCTTGTCGATCGAGTTTATAGTCCATGAATGTCTTCGCGACTTGTCTTCCGATTCTTCCGATTCAACACTAAGGCTGTTCCGGGGGGAGCCGGGTATGCTGGTTACAGATCGTTTTTTAGCTGATGGCTCGTCATCTGAAAAATACCAAAGAAAATATAAAAACTCATTAAGCTGAATAATGAAGGATATTACTTTGAATAGAAAAGAAACATTATGAATGATGTGCTTATCATAGCTACGTGTTGTTATGGTTCACAATAAGGTACTACGCCTTTGTTATCAGCTTAGCCGCGACAGATGTGTTAAATGAGTTCCGCCAACTAACGTTTTGGATGCTAATCAGTAAAGCAACAAAGAAATAGCTTCCAATACGTTAGTTGAGATATTTACTCATTTTCACGTTAGCATTCTTGCATTATCCATTAACTGAACATGCATGTGTTTAGTGAGGTGTCTATAGGTGCATGCGCAATAGGTTGCTTCAAGTGAATGATGAAGTTCTTGGTTAACACTCGCGTGATATGCATTTTTTATATTCAGCAGCAAATGCAATGCCGGGGCAATGTAAATTCAGCAGATGTTCTATAATCTGCAATGGTGACTGCAGCTAACAGTACCGATCTAAAAAACCTCCGTCAGACAGGGCCGCATGTACCCAGAAGGCTGTCGCGGTTTATCTGTTGTTAGGATTAGAAATAGAGTTCACATCTACCATCTCTCGTTAGCAAATCGCTGYCTGTAGATTTTTTGAGAACGAATCACTGAAAAATTGGCAGACACAGGACAAAGATACATGCTCTGTGTTTTCCTTTTCTGGCGATAATCCTTGTTAGACGTGTGCAGTCGTACCATACCGTACCCGCTGTAACGTAGCGTAACGTCAATAACGTACCGTAACTGTATCGTAACGTTAACGCCCTTATWGTAACATTCCAGAGGAAATGTTAGGACATAGGAGCATTTATGAATAAAAACAACATCGCTTTGCGTCTAGAGAATAAAAAGCTCGCATTCACCTTGAGGATCGTAAAGATACAGTGAATCTGACGTMACAACTTTTGCGTATATACAACCATCGCATGCAACCTGCGTAAGTCATCCTTACAACATAGCTACAACTGTTGTAGGGATTTAAAATAATTGCTCTGCATGTTGCAATGAAGAATTATCAGGTTGCATGCGATTATTGTTGGTGAAAATTATTCGGCCTTAGGAGCTGGAACGAGATTGACAGACAATGTATGCACAGAAGGAAGTAGCATGTGGTGATGAAACGCTATTTATGCTTTGATAAGTTGTATATGACTCCATTTATCTTATGAGTGCTATTGTGTTAACGTTGTGTTTAACAAGTGATTAAAGTGCAGTGACCTTCAGTGATATTCTGTGATGATGTGATACATAACGACTTAAGACCTTTCTGAGCTTCACTAACGGTGAACTCTGCCTTCTCTATATGTTTGCTCAACAGCATGTGACTCTGTGGAGAATGAATGACATGAATACATGATATGAAACTTATGAATGACAAGGCCCATCACGTGAACTGAATATATACCCCTTGCAGCTTATGGGAATACAGGTTCATGTTCAGACAAAACAATCTATCTTTCCTAAGAGAGAAGAAAATCCTTTGCTTTGTCATCCAGGTGAAGCTCTTTWGTATGGGGATCGATCATTGACATCTAAAACAGCTGGATGAAAAAGCAACGTCGGGCCACATCGGCGAAGCTAAGACCGAAAGAGGGGTCAAGGGAAAGGTTGGTCTGCACTAACTTCCCATAATRCCCCGCTTTGGTTTTCGCTTCGCATTATGTTGCAACCCTTTACATATTGATGATACATGTGACTTCAACAATTTCATGGMCCTCATAGAGTTGTGGGTATGGTTTTCATTCATGTTATATGTTTTTGACGACGTTGTTGCAAGTGAACAACCATGAAACGATCGACTCGGCTTTTGATACGTAAAACTGACGTTAAAGTTCGATACCTTTGATGATTCTTCAAGGTGACGTGTAAAAGCATCTCTCAGTCGATTTCTAACATAACAGAGACAATGATAAATTGGCTTTAAAATATAGCAACTACAATCATCATACTATATTTGCTATCCTGAGGGCTATAGCCAAGCACAGTAAATGATATAACTAATGGTTAACAAAGCATGGCTTGTATTCTATTAACGATTAAATCTCTAGAACGGGAATCGAATGACTGAACTTACTTGATGTCGAGCTTAACTGAATCCCTTCTCTGAAAAATGAAATAAGGAAACGAATATTAAATGCAATATTTATGTTATAAATGTTGTCCGATCGATGCCGTTGTAGTCTCTTTTGAACGGTCACCTGTTTTTTTGTTTTTTGTTTTTTCTAACGGTGACCGTTCATTAGAAGTATGAATGCTGTAATTATTACCGAAGGAGATGTGGCCTGGTATTTCAGTTCTGCTATTTTCTGTTGCTGTTGACGCACTTGTTGTGTTAGGGCGGTGACTTGTCGTTGTAAACATGTTATTTCATCGCTATTCTCCTGTGCTTCCTGTTCGGATGAGAATGTTTGGTTACACATAGACGCAAAAAGTGCTCAGAAAGAAAATAAAATATTTCTTCTTAAAAAGGAATACATTACATAAAAGACAAAAGAATGTATTTATATATTCTTAAAGCCGGAATTCTAAGAACTTTCCTGGCGGTACGACACGACTGTTGTTTTATTACTTATTTTTACTTGGACTATAGTCGACGATAGATAATAGACTGTTTGGATTTTGCCAGTAAGTACCCACATGCCGATTCATCTACTGATGGATTGATTGATGGGTTGAATAGGTTGGTTGGTTGGGTTATTAAGTTGTGTTGGGTTGGGTTTTCAATGATGAGTTGGTTGGTTGGGTTATAAAGTTGTGTTGGTTTGGGTTTTCAAGGATGGGTTGGTTGGTTGGGTTATTAAGTTGTGTTGGGTTGGGTTTTCAATGATGAGTTGGTTGGTTGGGTTATAAAGTTGTGTTGGTTTGGGTTTTCAAGGATGGGTTGGTTGGTTGGGTTATTAAGTTGTGTTGGGTTGGGTTTTCAATGATGGGTTGGTTGGTTGGGTTATAAAGTTGTGTTGGTTTGGGTTTTCAATGATGGGTTGGTTGGTTGGGTTGTTAAGTTGTGTTGGTTTGGGTTTTCAAGGATGGGTTGGTTGGTTGGGTTATTAAGTTGTGTTGGGTTGGGTTTTCAATGATGGGTTGGTTGGTTGGGTTATAAAGTTGTGTTGGTTTGGGTTTTCAATGATGGGTTGGTTGGTTGGGTTGTTAAGTTGTGTTGGTTTGGGTTTTCAAGGATGGGTTGGTTGGTTGGGTTATTAAATTGTGTTGGGTTGGGTTTTCAATGATGGGTTGGTTGGTTGGGTTGTTAAGTTGTGTTGGTTTGGGTTTTCAA